CTGAAGAGCTTGCAATAATAAGTGAGCCGAGGAAGGGTGTATTATCATCCTCTGTTTTTGCACTGATAAATGCACTCAGAATACCAAAGCTTCGATCCAGAGCCATAGTATCAATCTACCTCCTTAAAGAGCTATTTGGGAAGTTTCCATTCCATGAGAACTGCTAGGCATATCATGTATGCTGATTATGAGTTTATAGTAAACACAGCCAACAACTATTGTTCAGGCTGCACAATGGTTTCCTTGCTCAGCTTTCCTAGGCTTGCTATGTGCCCAAAGAGTAGATTATTTTATTTGTTTGTTTGAAGCAAAACTGTTTAGCCAGGCTTAGAGTACAAGGAAAATGTGAATGAATTAGGGTTGCCAACTCTGACTGAAGCTATTTCTCGAGATTTTTTTTCCCAACATGACATAACATACTGTTCAACCTGTTCACAATATCAATCTCCCAGATTGCTTTCAATAGTCACTGAGAGATTGATGCTGATTCTGGTAGACTCCTGGCCAATCCAGGAGGGTTGGCAACCCTAGAATGAAGATACTTCCCCATTGCAAAAACAATACATGTGAACTTCTTTACAACAGCTTTGCAGCTGAAAGTTTGAAATATGGCAGGGAAATAGTTACTTAATAAAGATGCCTGTCTCCGAGAGTTCCAGTGAAAATTGGTTTTGATGAGTAACAGTAGCGCTTGGGACCCCAGTCATGGCTATTGGCTAGGGCACGACATGAGGGAGAAGAAGAAGATGGTTCCAGCCCCAAAGAATTTTGCTGCCTCATTTAACCCTCCACCTAAAAAAAAAAATGTAGCAATGATGTACATGGGTGTTGAACAAAGGACTCCAATATTGTGTGATACAAAGGAATCAGAGAAGTAGCTGTATATTTTGCAAGGTTTCCAAGAAGAAGCTCTAATTGTGCTGTATTTAACCACAGTGGGATGTAGGAACCTTCCTATGGGCCTCGTGAGGTACGATTCAAATGGGTTGTATACTAAAGAGATCCTAACATGGGATGGCGTTGTCCACTGTTGTCCTGTCAAATAGGCTCATGTCATGGATTTGACACACTACTGTCATATTTTCCCAAAAGCAGACCGTTAAAGACCTAAAATAGAGGAGCTTCTTTATGCTTTTTAAAGCTTTTCTCCTTAAACAATAAAATCTAGGACAAGAAAACAAAAGTTTTACAGGGAAGAACAATTCCCATTTTATGGATGGGGAACTGAGGCCCAGAGAGTTTAAGTACCTTTGTCCAGGCCATGAAAGTGAGCCTGCAGGAGAGCCATGCATTGCAGCTAGACCTCCCAGTACCTAGTTCTGATAACCATCTTTCCTCTTCTTTCTCTTACCAGTTCTCTCTGTTTCTTCACAATCAAGCTTCTTTTGTCACCATAATCTTCAGTTTTGCTGCTCCTCTTTTTTCTGCAGTGGGCTTTCTGGAGAGCTTCACTGCATTGGCTTGCCCTTTTACCTCTAAATATCTATTCTTCCTTGCCAGTGTCTCCCAGTTAATTTTCCGTAGCTCTCATCATTTTAGCTTTCTAAACACATTTTCTAACTATGTAAAGTGCTTTGGGATTAGGGTGGCCATCATAGAGGACAATCCAGTTGTCCTCTGTCCTCTATTGACCTGAAACTAGATGCCTTTATGTCCTCTGTTTTTCTAAAGGCATCAGGGTTTCAGATCAATAGAGGACAGAGTAGCAGAAAACCGGAATGTCCTCTATTATGGCCACCTATTTGGGATACAATTTGTATGAATGGCACTGTAGAAAATTAAGTTGCATTGTATTTTGTTTTGGTCTATATAAGATAAACTTAAGTGCTGTAACCAAACATTGCAATCCAGAAGGCATACATGGAGGAAATTCACATTGCTTGTGTTTGTTCACCATCTAGTGGCTCAAGTTTGGAAAGCAAAGGATTCCTGGCTCCCACACAGGCCTGAAATATGTACAAAAAAGCTGCTGCAGAAAGCTGCCTGCATACCAGTGACCAAAGCAGTTTCTTAAGCATTTTTCTGTTCTTGCAGTTATAGTGATGGGTGGGTGATCATTTGCAAACTGCTGGCTTTTTGTAAATTAGCAAGTGAAAAGCAAAACACCCAAAAAAAGCCAGTTCAGTTTTACAGAATGCCTTGCGCCCTTTTTGACAAGTAAATTTATTTTTCATCACAGTAATGAATTGAAGACAATCTTCCCATAGAAAGGAAATTGCAGTAGTCACTTCTGTTGATAGCTCGTTTAAGAAATGAAGAAATGTGCATCCTGTGGGTCTGATTCTAATCTATGATATCTCAGTCCCCGATTTCTTAATATCCCTGATTTCGTTAAGTTGCTCTAGCTTTACCACAGTGTAAAATAAACCAGAATCAGACTGTATGCTTTCAGCCTAGAGCACATAATTCAGAGACAAAAGTCCACCCAGCTCTAAACAATGTTGGCTCCATTATTTTTGCTCTGTTATCCTGCATAAATCAAAGTGCTACTTTGATAATTGCTCAGGAAAGTTTGTAGCAGCAGAAAATTCAGGTACACCCTGTGGATTTTCTGGTAAAGTGAAACATATTTGGTACATGCTTGGTACATGTTTGAAAGTGAATGCCTGCCTGCTGAAACAAGACAGACTGAAAAGACCAGCAAATGTATCAAGACACGATCTTGCAATTTAATAAGCATTTTATTGATAAGAATATTTTCACTATAAATTTAGAACTGCAGAAGGGTGAATGGGGACATATGGAAACAGCAGCAGGTAGGATACAGAGCATAAGAATAGAACATAGAACACAAAGTATCTAGAAATGTAAGACATTTATGATGTATGCTACTTTGATCTATACAGTATGTCTACCTCATTATTATTCATATCATGCTATATATTCACAGTGTGGAGGGGGAAGAGGACACTTGACTTAAGAAATTCTATTGGGGAATTTTCTGTCTTGCTTCCTTGTTCAACTTTTTTAGTCAGCTCTATAAGCAAAGGCAAATCAAAATAGTTTTGCTACCCAGCTCAGCACTGGTTAGAGTAAGCTCCAAAACTACCAAAGGAAACATCATCTTCTTAAAAACCTCACTCTTCCTCTTCCCAAAAGTATGCCAACCCCCAGTCCACTGGCACATATGCCTCTACAATCAAGTCATCACCCTGACTTTCAGAGTGTTCTATTTAAATTAAAGCCAGTGGCGTAAAATTTGGAGAATAAATAGAAACGGGGAGGGGAGTAGTTTGCCACCTTATAAAGTATGTTTACTCCAGCATGTTACTGAGGAAATAAGCTATGACCCACCCGCTTCCACTCTTCATGCATCAGCCTCAGAAATGAGGTGACAAGGACACCTTTGGGACATTGCCAACTGCTGGCCTTGAGGATGCTGGAAATCCAGTGCAGTGCTGGGCTGCCATTAGGGTGTCGTTATCCACAGCTGGCCAACATACAGCCGTAGTGGGTGAGCAAAGTGTTTCCCTGGCAGCATGACTGAACTCTTTGCTGCAGTGTAGCATGGCCTGAATGCCTACCTTCTCTAAAACGCAGGCCTTTTTCTGACGCCTCAGACTAAGCATCCTAGAAGTCAAAAGTCACATTTAAAAATGTGGGCACATGACACTCACAGATAGTTTAGCTTAAGCTGAACCCACAATAGCCACCATAGAACCAATTCTCCCTTCCTTACATTAATAAGTATCTTACTCTGCAAAATCATTGTCATTGTAGCATCCGTGTGGCTCTCAGAGTTTAATAATGAAAAGGTATCAGGCTGCAGGTCAGAAACATATGGGCTTGACTGCTTTGGTGAATAGGAATCAGGGTCTCAGGGGATGTCACCGTTTAGAAGAAAGTGTATTTTTAGAACCAAATTTTAAGCTAGTTTGTAAAAGTATACTCAAATAACCCACGCCCAGCCACCCTTAGGCAGCATCATGAATTTTGCCTCTTCCTGATGTCATCATTTTTGCTTCCCTTTTGAGAACTGCGAGGGGAAAAAGCAAGTTTGCCCACCAGTGACATGACTTTACATGGCCTGAGCAGTACACCGTAGACGCTCAGGGTGGCTGGAGAGAAAACCAATTCTGCTAACCCAGACACTGCACAGTAGATCAATTAAACCGTTGCTTTAATCATGAGGAATTAGATGCAAGACAGTACTATGGAGACATACTGCCCAGGCTTCTATATATTGCCTGTGATCAAGTTGAGGTGGTTGTCCACCAAAGCCTTCTGGATCTAAAGCAGAACATCTCTACTACAGTGTCTGGGCTTTCTGTCATGAACAGGAAGGTTGTGCCATCCTGGCTCCCAGCAAAGAACTAAACTCTTCATCATACGTTCCAATATAGTTCACCTTGCATGTTTAACTATAATCAGCCAATAGGATCTTGTTAAAAGCAGTTTATTGTATAAACAACCAGTGGAAACCTTCCTCTTTAAAGATCTTCCTCCTCCCCCTTTAAGATGTATTATCCTGCAAAGTCCTCTTTCAAATCAGAAATCAAACTGATCACTTTTAAAACATAATTAAATATATGTATAAAAGTCTTAGCAAAAATGAAGTTCCTTTTCCTTATGCTATCACAACTGGGGATTTAGATATAATTATGCGCTTTCTGCACAGCACAAGCTCCCCTACTGCAGTCAATAGTGCTTGTAAAAATGTAGACCTTCTGCTAAATTACCAGCTTGATCTATTTTGTGCTTTATTTCCACTACCCATGGAATTTAACAAGATACATGAGAAATTGGACTTATGTTTAGTTGTTGTTTTATGTAAGTTACTTAGAACAGCATAGGAGGTTACACATGGGGATGCCACACAGCTAATCAGACTGCATGACTCAGAATACAGTTTATTATTGCTATTCATAATACAATCACTTTTATAGAAACCTTAAGGTTGAAAAGATTAACAAGTGTTAATTTAGGGTCCTGATCTTGGGAACTGCTCTTTATCCTCATCCTCCACAAACTTCAAGGATTGGGCTCTTTCAACTGCACTTCAATAAGTTGGATTGGTGCATGGGCCATTTTGCCTTTTGGGAAATGCATTCCTTTAAACAGAATTATTCCAGTCTGGAAAGGCCAGCAAATGTGTACTGTTTTGGTATGACAATATCTTGTAACACACAGTCTAGGATGAATGCATGCAACTCCCATTGATTTCACTAGGAACCACTGTATTCATCCGGGGTGGGGGATAAAAAAAAAGCTCTGATATAAGGCCCATTGAAGTTAACTGAAAAAAAAAAACACATATCTACATATATGACCACCAGATTCTATCTATTTTCATTTTTCTGACATACTCTGGCTTCCAACCTTGAAGATTTTAATCTACTTCCATTTGGAAGATTAAAGAGGAAAAGCCTTGAAATATTCAAATAGAATCATTACAGGAAGCTCGAAGTGGAAGTATAAAAATAACTCATCTTTCTATAAAGAATAAAGCTTAGGCACCCTCATGTTCCATCCAGTAAGAGAGCACGTACAGTTCTCTTCCTTAGCCTTTTTCCACCCAGTCCAGTCAAACTCACTTTATATTATAAAGCAGGACTCTGGTCAGGTGTGAGTTTATGTCCTGTTTCAGTGTTTGCACTTAGACCATTGCAACACAGTCAGTAAGAATCTGTGCATGACTAACTAGTCAAGGGAGGGAAGAGCACAAACAAGTGTTTCTGTAATGGGAGGTGTGAAAGAGGCAGGGGAACTGTGGTAAAGGTGAGATAACACTCACTGTGGGAGGTAAGGGAAAGGTGTACATGTACAATAAAACTCAGACACACCAGGACTGTTCATGCACACAGGCAGGAACCCTCAGAGGTCAGTGGAGAAATGGATGAGGAAAAGTAGGCCTGCATCTCAGCTACATCATGCTAGCCTATACCATCAAAAGAGTCATGTTGCAGCCTGCAGGCAAGGCTGCCTTTCTTGTTTCCCTCTCAGTCTTTTTGCCTCCTCCCAAGCAAACTCCTCCTAACCCCATTACACACATGCAGGTTTGACATTTCTTCCAACTAACAGAATAGTGACAGAAGCACTGAACACAGATATGGGACCTTCCACACAACAGCTCTTTCCCCATCAATGTTTGGGACTGAGTATGGGGAATTAATATCTTCTGCTTATCCTGGTCCCAGAACTCATGAAGCCAGAATCTCACTACAATAGCACAGGCTGATTTCAACCCCTGCCTATCTCACCTTCATACAATTCTCTTAGTTCTAATATCCCAGTCCCAAGTGCCTGGGGAAGAGGCTAAAAGGTAGACTGTAAAGTAGGTTTAGACCTTGAGCACATACTGCAACAGTCCTCACCATTTGAGAATACAGTAACATTCCTGGAAAGGAAAATACCCAACAAGTAGAAAAATCAATCTAATCCCAAAAGGATTTTATTGAACTGCATATCTGTCTTAGAAATGTTTAATGAAGCCAGTGGTGCACACTCCCCACCTACTCTATTTCATTAGAGTTTGCTGCTAGCACACTGTGGAGTTGGCATTAGCAGCTGGACTAACTGGATTGTTCACAGCTTAAAAATAACTGCTTCTTCTTGAGTCTTTACATTAACAGTCTGTTCCATGAGTGGTGACAAATGGCAGCACTTATCACATTGGATTGATAGTAGTGCCGATCACTTCTCAGTGTACAGAACATACAAAGCCTCAGAGACAGGTTCTCTTAAAATCAGCAAGTGCCATATTTAGCCATATGTCAACTAAATTATGCCTTTTAACTCTTGCCTCAGGACAGTTTAAGAATCAGTTAAGTACAATTAAGATGTTACTACTAAAGACAGAACTACTGCATTTCTCATTAAAAACCTTTACAGTAAACAAGAGTACTTTGCAAAATATATTATTGCACACAAAGAATAAATACAGGTTTTTGGAGCTACAAAGAGGAGGATCCCGAGAAATCTAGAAGACCCAGAACAATGACCCCAGGGCCATTCCAGTTGCTGCTCCAGCAAGCATGCCCAGAGCGAGGTCTCCATCATTGTCACGGTAGCGTTCTCTAATGATGACATGGTTTGCAGGGGGCTGGCCATAAGGTCCTAGGAAACAAAAAAGTTTGGTTAGGAAAACTGGAGCATGTATAGCTTGACAGAGAAGCATCAACATGTTCTTTAATTTAAAATGTAAAGACCATAAGTATATCTCATCTTGTTGGTATGGTGGACAGCACCACTGCTTAGAGTCCACCCTGGAAAGTTCTCCATCCTGTTAAGAGAGACCATACACAATAACCTTCTTCAGTATCTCATGAAAATGGAGCAGTCTTGTGCAAGAGTGCACGGATGGGCATCCAGACATCTGCGGATTCTATGCCTCACTGTGCCATATGGCCGGTACCTTAGACAAGCAACTCTCACTTTGTTTGTCTGTTATGCAGTAATCAAAATGGGGATCTTGTATCATCATCAGCCTTGAAGAGATGCTGAGGCTTAATCCTTGTGTAATTGTCAGTTACTCTGAGATCTCCAAATGACATATGGTCTATGTAAGGACAGCACAGCAATACTATTATGGATAAGGCCATGCCAAACACTTCTCTGCATTGGTTTAGGTCTCCAAATACTTAGCAGCCTCTGCAACACTTCAAACAAGTAGAAGAAGAAATCTCAGGGAAAACAAATCTAGATGTAGCTGGAAGAGATAATGGCAGTGGGTCTCACCCTTTTAAGACTCAAGGCATCTCTCCAAAACTTTTCAAAAATTAGCAGTACCCCATTAAACACCCCCCCAAGATTACAATATAAATATTATAGATAGCATTAATTAATAATCTTATGCATTGATTAAATTAGGGGCGGGCAATTATTTTGGGCAGAGGACTGCTTACTGAGTTCTGGCAAGCTACCAAGGGCCGCATGGGTAGCCCTGCCCCTTGACAGGTGCCCTGCACCCTGGTCACCATCTTGTGACTAGAAGTCCTGCCCCCTAACCCTTGCCACCAGAAGTCCCTCCCCTTGTCCCCAGAAGTACCCCTTTCAGCAAGGAGTTTTGCCATCTCAGACCTAGAAAAATACCAAATTATATTCTAAAAACTGAACATCTACAACATTCATTAATTTTATTTCAAAAAAATATTTTTGTCCAGGTTTACATGTGTTTGTGTAGTGTACATAGAGGTGACTGTATATAATAGCTTAAAATGAAGTCTTACTCTTGTATATTGTAGGGGGGATGGGTATGTGGGGTGTGGTGGAGGATGTGGGTGTGTGTGGGGGTAGGATAGGTGTGGGGGATGTGGGTCTGCATGTGGATATGTAGGGTGTGGGTGGGTATGGAGTTTGTGGGGGGTTGTGTGGGGGACGGGTGGCTGGTGTGTATGAGGGGGTGTGGGGATCTGCATGTATGGCTGTGCAAGGGGGGTTTGGGTCCATGTGCATGGTGGGGTGTGCATGTGGAACTCACCCTACACACACACTGCCTCTCCCTATACGCACACACACCCCCCGGGGTACCAGCGCGGCCTCGTGCTCCCGCGTTGCAGGTGGGAGCCACATGGTACTGCAGCAGGGTGGGGGCAGGAAGGCAGAGAAATGGCTGTGGGTGGGGCGGGGCTGGGCTGTTCAGCTCTGCAGGCTACCCTGGAGTCCTACTGCCCCTAGCTCCTGTCATCTTTGACAGGCAGTTAGGAGCAAATAAATATTAATTTACTAAATATTTTAAGGTCCCCATGGGCTGGATAGAATGGCCTGGCAGGCCGAAACCGGCCCGCAGGCCATATTTTGTCCGCCCCTGGATTAAATCATTATAATCATACTATACTTTTCACCCCCCTGCTGCTGCTGCCGCCACAGCCAAGTGGAACTGCACTGAGCCAGACTGTGGCAGAAACAAGCACTTATGCTGCATCCTGTCCTGATCTGACCCCATAGGATGTGTCCTGGAAAAAGGTGCTCAGGGCAAACAGAAGTGTCACATCAGAGCCAAACTGAGAAGAAGCCACAGGATAAAGGCACACCTGCCTACATTACATTAAGTAGGCAGGTGCACCATTTCTGCTGCAGCTATTCCCAATCCAGCTCTGATGTGTGAAAACAGAAGCATGAGGGGAAGGTTCACCCCATGGTGGCAACAGCTTGGACATAAATGCCATTGCCACCAGGTACAATATCCCTGCGTGCTTCTGTTTCCAGAAGGCACATGAGAGGCAAACCAGGAAAAGCTGCTACAGAAGCAATGTGCCTGCCTGCATGATGTAATTCGGGCAGCTGCACTTTTCTGCTGCAGTCACTTCTCGGTTTGACTCCAACGTGGCTCCTGAGATGAGGCACGCAGGGCAATTTCACCCTGCAGTGGAGGCAGCATTGCAGCACCTCTGGCAGGTTTTTGCAGTGCCACAGTTGAGAACCACTGGCTTATGGTGGTAATTTAATTGAGTGTAAGTGTCACAGTGCATTTCTCCATTTATAGCACTCACTTTCCCCCAAGTTAAGGCACATAAGTCTGCATCATAGGCTAGTATATGGGTAACTTCCATCTCCAGGACTGATCTGGTATAGCTACTGGATTTAATGATAAACCTCTCACTGACTTCCAGTATGTAAAGATTGGTTGCTTAGAGATTGGGGCTTGATCCTGCAAGGTGGTGAATGTTTATCAGTCCCAACACCCAGAAAGGGACTTGAGGGCACATTGTAAGAACAGGTCTTTGACTTAAATTTGCAAACACAAATTCAGTGAAAAATCTGGAGATTGGAGATGGATCAGCCAAATTAAGCTCTGGCCATGTGTCTGACCTTAAGAGTTTACATGCATTTTTTAAAAACATATGTTGTGCAAGGAAACATCTACCTCTGGGTAACAGCAGCAACAATGCAGGTATCAAGCATAAACATGCAAGTTAGGACTAGTTGTTCATTTACACCAGACTTGCAATTAGGTCCATTTCTAAAAATTACTATGTCACACTTCTCTTATATGACAGACTTGAAAAACCCTTTAGGTCTCAAAGTCAGAAGAATTTTTTTAAACCTGTTCTTTTTTTAAACCTCTTCAAAAGAGAAGGCTGAGGGAGGATCCTGTGGCCTGTTATAAACTGGTTAGGGGGGATCAGCAGGCGCTGGGGGAGTCCCTGTTCCCCCGAGCGCCACAAGGAGTGACCAGGAACAACGGTCACAAGCTGGCAGAGGGAAGGTTTAAGTTGGACATCAGGAGGCGCTACTTCACGGTCAGGGCGGCTAGGGTCTGGAACCAGCTTCCAAGTGAGGTGGTGCAGGCTCCCACCCTGGGGGTTTTTAAGAGGAGGTTGGATGACCACCTTACTGGGGTC